AATGCTGAAAGACATCAACACCAAGTATGAGCTCAGTGCCAAATTGCAGAACAAAGTGTCAGAACTGAAGGATGTTATTGATAGCTTTGACTTCAAAGTCTTTGTCCAAGACCTGACAAAGTTTATCAACTCTATGGAAAATGTCATGACCAACCTGAAAGCCAAGTTCCCAACTGACAAAGTCATGAATGTGCTGAAATCAATGAAGGATGCTATTATGGCTTGGATCAAGAAGCATAACATTGCTAACAACTTCAGTGTAACTTGTGCCAAAATAGAGGAGATCCTCTCCAGCTATGACGTTGAGAAGATGATTGGGGCCATGATGGATGAGGTTGTTAAAATTATGAAACAGTATCATGTGAGGGAAAAGATGCAGGCTGCTGTTGCTGCTCTCAAGTCAATTGACATCGAGCCTTTGGTCAAAAGAGTTATGGCACCTGTTCAGGAGCTTGTGAATGAGCTCTATTCCTTTAACTTCAAACAGCTGATTGATGACATGAGTGACTATTTCATGAGGATGGTCCAGAATATTAAATCTTTTGATTATGACACATTCACCATAGAGTTGAAAGAGAAAGTTGCAGATATGAGCAAGATTCCCTGTTTTGGAAAACTCTATGGAGAGTTCAGAGTTACCTCCCCTCACTACACACTCAGGACCACTGCTGACCTTGAGAATACCACAACTACATCAGTCACACCAGATTTCAAAATCAACCTTAACTCAAAGGCTTCATCTACTTTGAAAGTTCTTGACTTCACACTGGATGCCAGTGCTCATTTGGCTGCGCCCAAGATGAGTCGCTTGTCCATCTCTGAGAACATCAAAGTTGACCAGTCATGTTTCACACTTGACCACAAGGGAACAATGACTCTCTATGGCATGTCAGCTAAAGCTTCTGCTGAAACTACTGCAAAAGCTAACTCTGAGTTATATGTTGCCGAGCTTGTCAACAATGCATTCTTTGCCCTTGAAGATGGAGTTTCTGCCACTGTGGAGACTAGCTACAAACATGACGTCAATATGCCATCCCTCAACATCTTCAGTGAAACATCAATCAATCAAAAGAACGTCCTCCAGCTTAATGCTGGCACTGCCAGTCTGAAAATTACCAATCTCGTCAATGGAAAATATGCAGTTAAGGACTTTTCGGATGAGGCAACCCACAAGAGTGACATGGAGGTGGTGATGGATCTTCACACAGCCAAAGTGACTTTCACTGGAGCAACAGGGAGCAGTCACTTCAAAATGAATCAAAATGTGGTTGCTGAAATCTGCATTTTCCGCCATGTAATTATTGATGCCAAGTTTGAGACAGAAACACCTTTCATGAAGGGCAGTGTAGCAGATGTCAAATTCCAGGCTAATGCTGGAGACATGAAAATTAATTTCTCTGCCTCTCACGGTGCAGAGCTAGTTGGACAGGTTGAGGGAACTCTCTCAAACTCTGTACTTGCTTTGGTCACACCTAGTGGTCTTATGTTTGACACCAAGAATAAGGGAAATGTCAAGGTTGCCCTTCCATTCAAGCTGTCTGGAAAGATGGATCTCCAGGATGACGTCTCTTTGATCCTGAACTCTGAAGTGCAGCAGGCTAGTTGGACAGGTCTGGCTAGATTCAACCAGTACAAATACTCCCATTACTTCACCATGGATAATGGTGAAGAAATTAACATATTTTCCCAGATCAATGGAGAAGCTAATCTGGATGTACTAAAGGAGCCTATCACCATTCCTGAAATAACTGTGCCATTTGTTGGCATGAAGACACCAAGAGTCAAAGACTACTCTCTGTGGGAAGACACTGGCCTGAGCAATCTCCTGACCACAACTCAGCAGACATTTGACATGAACTCCAAGCTGAAGTACATGAAGAGCCCCAAAATTCAGAGCATCAGGATTCCAGTACTGGGTGATCTGACCTACGAGTTCTCCATGAAAACTGCAATGGTCACACTCAAAACTGATGCTAGCATCCTTAACCAGGACAGCATCATCATCAAACTGGATGCTTCCTCAACCTCTGAATTTGAGGTTCTGACTGGAAAGATTGAGGGCCACACCAACATGAACACGGTCGGCGGATTTAAAATGGCCTCTGTCCTGTCTGTGAAACATCCAATGCTTGAGGGAAACCATGACAGCACCATCATCTTAAGCTATGAAGTTGTGGATACCTCCATCACCAATTCAGCCAAAGTCAATCTACCTGTCCTGAGTATGGAAATGTATCAGCAGATTATTGGAAATTCAGAGGAAGGCATTGTTGTGTCTATGTCCACTCCATCTGCAGGTCTCATTGCACTTCAAATGCAGACTAAGCGCCCAGCACAAGTGAAAGCAAGACTCTATGGTCGCTACCCGGTAAGATAAGTTTTGTTTACTTGTTTGCTTACTAATAACCTTTGATTGTAATTTCAATTTGAATGGTGTATTTATATTTCAGTAATATTTGTTTCATGTTTACTATCCCACACAGTCTGAACCAACAAATGACATTGATGTCTTGGGTCTGAAGCTGTCTGTGATGAACTCTGAGAAGCTAAACCTTCAGACAACCTGGAACATGGAGATGCCATATGAGATGATGCTGGGACTGAAGAAACACGTGCCCACAGTCATGGAAATGGTGTCTGATCCTGCTGTCAAGACATACAACACAATCTACAGACATGCTAGAAGCCTTGAGGGTTCTTTTGAACAGGCTAGAGATCAGGGTAAAGTGATGTTCACGAGGACTGTTGACAACTTTGCAGCAGTAATTCCTTCAAATTGTATGACAACTGTCACAGAGAAGACCATTTTGATCCTCAAAGAATACCAAAAGAAAGTTGAAATTGTCCTCAATGCTGTTGTTAAATTTCTGAGAGAGACCAAGTTCCAGCTTCCTGGGTATGAACAGAAGCTGTCTGGGCTTGAGGTCTACCAGAAATATAGTGCTTTTATTGCCGATGTATCTGAAGAGGCTGTTCAAAAGGTTCCAGAGTATATTGCCTCCACGTTTACAGCAGTCCTTGATTTTGTCCAAGCCATTGAGTTCACCCTCCCTGGCTCAAACAACGTTGTCAGCGGAAGAGAAATTCTTGAAGACTTGTTTGTAGCTTTGAGGAAAATTCAGGAACAAGTGGTTGTGATTGTTAGGAAAGTGGGGGAAATCCAGCTAGAAGATGTCATTAATAAATTATCTGCATTTGTGCAGTTTACCACTGAACAGAGCGAGAGGTTTCTCCAAACCCTTAAATCTCAGAACGTAGAGACGCTCTCCACCTTTGTGACTGATGTATACAATGACGCCATCAACTCTCGTGTCCTGGCTGATGTTGCCAAGCAGGTTGAAAAGGCCCACAAAATTGTTGTAGAATATTTAAACGCTGTGAAAGCTAAGCTCCAGAATATTTTGGCTGACATCTCTTTTGAACAACTTCAAGCTGACATCGTGTCCTGGATTGACTTATTGGTGAAACGTGTGAATGCTATCCACAACAATGTCATAAAGACTCTTAAGGAAAAAAGCAAAAGTGTTGAACAATTTGTGAGAATAGGTGACAGACAGATGGAGATTGACATTCCTATCCCATTTGTTGCCAAATTTAACTAACCGACTGTAGATAACCAGGATATACTATGTTTGTATTGACTGTGTCTGTTGTGTAACAATGATGCATGTTTAATTTCACTCCCAGTTGTTCTGGTCCTACTGTGCTCCCTTTGTGTCTTGTACTATTTAAAAACATGTATGTCTCCTTCAATAAAGACAGTTTTTACTGCATACTGTACATCTCTGTGCATTTATTGTATATAATTTAACATAAATTACTAAAAATCAAACTTCTTGGCATGCCTTTAAAATTAAATGGAAGAGAAGGTACTATAATATGATTTTTATATGCTGGTAAAATTGTCTTTAGATTTAATATTCCTCCCGATATATAAATTAGCATTTTCCTGACATGAAGCACTGAAGTTTGAGTCAAAGTTGCTTCCCTAAATCTGACAAATATATAGTTACTCATTAAAAAACTACATACTGAATACAGTTACAATATCATTTTAAAAAACTCACCCTACACCGCTGCAACATGCCCATACGTAAGTCGTTTGTATCCTCATGTCTAAATTTAGCAGATACACAAATAGCTTGTGTGACACAAGCTCTCTTGTCATAAAACTGTGAGAATAAGTGAGTCAGTTTGAGTCTTAAAATGGACTCACCCTTTGAAATGTAAAAATTTTTCTTTTCAATAATGGCTATTGGCTATGTGTAATCATAAGCAGTGTTATCCAGATAATTTACTTAAGCAGAAGTAGCAATAAAACAGTATACAAATACTCCATAGCAGATACTTTTAAAAATCATATGTAAAAGTATTTTCAGCTAAATTTATGTAAAGTATAAAAAGGAAAATAACTCATAATACAGGAAAATAAAGCCTTAATGTAATGTTATATTGTACTTTAAAAACTGTACTTAATAAAATATTTAGTTACTTTCCACCACTGGTCATATAACCCATATTGAACTTATGGGTAAATATATCCTACTAAAAACAGAAAGAAAATCACAAATGCAATGGAAGACTCACAGAATATTGTGAGAGTTTATATAATTGTCAATATATATATACATAATCTTTGAGGTATGTTGAACCTTATACCAGCTGCAACACCACATTAAGTATTTGTCTTTAATGTGAGAAAATGAGGCAAAAGCAGATACGTAGAGGTGGTGACACACAATGATTTATTTTATTGACTTTCCCCAAACAGTACCATTTGTTTTCTTACATTCTGTATTGTTTTACCTCACAAAAAAAAATGCATTGTTCCATTCAAACCTGGAAATTATGTAATTACATTAACATATCTTACAAACAAATGTGTTTGGCACATTTTCCTTCATAATTGTATTCTTCAAAGTATAACAAAGAAAAAGATGCTCGGTCTGATCTGGGAATGATAACCTAAATCAGAGGCACATGAGGGGGGCCAGTGTGGGAAAATTAACCAGTCTAGCACAATGCATTCCTGTCCTGTAAGTCAGCAAAAAGCCCAGCAACAGAAGGCAGGGAGGAATGTGACTTTTACATCATTGTAACCAGTTGGATTTTTAAAAGATAACTCTTATTTAACTCCAATTTATTTTATAGTTATTCAATGAACTACAGCAAAATGACATGTTTAAAGAGAAATTGAAGAATAACTCGCATAGTAAATCCACCAGGGTTTTTACCTTAGATTCCCAGTGTTGCAACACCCTCTGCAACTGATGTCCATAGCTGTCATTTGAACAAGCACTCCCACCATTGTGTAAAAGACAACAGCAACACAACCCTGCTTGTGGAAACACAGATCAAACATGAGCTCATGACACAAATGTGGAAAATAAGCTCAAATACATTGATTTCTGTTGCCAACTTCAAAGCTCCAACAATATTTTTGACTAAATAAATTTGAGGTACGTTCCATGGTCATAATGGAAGACATTAAGGTGGAAAGTTTCTATTTTTTGTGTTTGTCAATCAATCATAGTTCAGCTGTAAACAAACTTTTAACATCTTCAGAAAAAAACAAAAATCTATATTTTACAATTTACATTTATTCCTCATCTAGTATTTTAGTCAAAGGGATACCCTTTTGTTTATGTTTGTGTAAATATTAGTCAACTGTGGTTTTAATTACATAACATCAACATTTTAAATAGCCACACGTTCTCACAATTCCATTGTGTTCCTGGCTCATAGAGCTCTGACACAGCCTTCTTTTCATGACACTATCTAAGAAAAAGCATTTCGCTGAGCAAAGCACTCACATGCTTAACCGTCTCACGTGCTTCCCTTAGAAATATCACCACCATAACTGTAAACGAAGCAGTAGCTTAATAGAAAACAGGTCTTTGAAGTCTACGAGACTGATGAGACATGCCAGCCTTTAGAGACAGCTAGATCGGATTTAAAAGTTAAGAAACATGGTGAGATATGTGCTTCAAATGGTGAGCTGTAATGACAAAGCATCATTTGCTCGCTGTACTATTTACAGGCTACAATGTATTTTCACTATAATTGTTTTGTAATCCATGATCAAAAAGCATCTCTTTTTATGAATGTCCTCATAAATTGAGTCATTGTAGCCACCAGCAACGCATACAATTTGGGGTAGACGCATGTTTAGCAAACTAGTAATTGTACATTTAACAAAACATCTATATAAAAACTTGCTAAACCATACTGTCAAATGTAACTCAGACCTAGAGTGGTATTTGGCCTGTTGCAAAAAATAAATAAAAATACTAGCATCAGGCTATAGACATGTAATACCGTGGAGTCCAAAACATACTTTTCGGATGTGGTTCCAACTCACACCTGATTTGTTTAACTGTAAACTGAAGCTATGTCTTTATTCATGGGTAAAACATCAGAAGAAACGCCATAGAACATTGTTGCGCTGATTTGAACTAAGGGTTAGAAAGTTCAAAACTTTCTGTGAATTGCTGTAGTGTCGAACAGTAATTCTGCTGTGCAATTTCACAAACTAAATATTCATTGTTACAATACAAAGTGGACATAAACGAGTGCAATATTTGCTTATTACAAAGTAGGCTGAAACCTTGGCAGTAAGGAAGTGGCCTATGCAAACACTTGAAACACAAAAAGTGAGCAATTTAAACCGAGGCCCAAAAGCAGGCCTTGAGAAAGGACATGTCCACATTAGACAGGGGGAAATAAGGCGTCCGCTGACATGAAGTTTGTCCTTTTTACCCCTCCACCTGTCATACTGGGATCATGTGACCCGCAAAGAACATGCTTTAATCAGTGCATTTCTCACACACACACAGATTTTAGATTATCACCGAGTGTGTTAAAAACAACTTGTTTTCAGTCATTCGTTTTGGCTGAACCAAGGTCGTCTGATTACAAGGGAGTAACCAAACCATGGCCACTGCCCGTACATGTTCAGACACGGATCCCAGCGGTGGAAGCGTCTTGTCTGCGCGTCACAGTTCTCCAGACAGCGTCGATTCACATCAAAACACAGCATTTGAGACAACTTTCTGATGGTATTTTCCGTTTTTGTAAAGATGCCCGTGTTGCAGTTTCGAATACCTCCCAGATCCCCTCCTTGGTTTTGGCAGCGCACTCCAAATAGTCATATGCGCCAATGCGCGTGGCCATGGCCCGGCCGTCCTCTGCCTTCACTGGCTCTAGCTTCAACCGGGACAGCTCGTTCTTTACGTTCTCGTCGTTGCGGAGATCCTTCTTGTTGGCCACTAATATAATAGGTACATTGGGACAAAAATGTTTGACTTCGGGGACCCACTTTTCGGGGATGTTTTCCAACGAGTCCGGGCTGTCCACGGAGAAGCACATCAGAATGACATCAGTGTCCGGATAGGAGAGGGGCCGCAGCCGGTCGTAGTCCTCCTGCCCAGCTGTGTCCCACAAAGCTAGCTGGACTTGCTTGTTTTCCACCTCGATGTCCGCCACGTATGTCTCAAACACAGTCGGAACATACACCTCGGGAAACTCGTCTTTGCTGAATACGATCAATAGACATGTTTTCCCACACGCGCCGTCCCCCACCACGACTAGTTTCTTCCGGATGTCTGCCATTACTGCCTTTCTTTCTACCTCTCGCTTGAATGTGGCATCCAAAAACACAGACACTCTCGGGGCGTCCACTCCCTCTGCTGTTAAACTCTAAATGAGACGTGTCCCATAAGCCGCTCCCGTCTAGCAACTCCAGAACATTTACCAGCAACCACTGCAATCTCTTTATAAAGCATAGGGTGGTTTCCTAAATTTAGCAATCCAATCAGAAATAAGGAGGTGAGATCACAGTTTGAAAAGGAAGAGGTGATTGGATCTCATCGAGTTTCCTTATGTAGAGGAGGGTCATGGACCACGAGGACCCATCCGATCCGGGATCAGCCAAAATCAAGCAAGTCTAACTGCATGATGATGTTTTGCGCGACGATTGTGCGTAATTCTCCGAAAATGGGACTTCTGTTATATCGTGGCTTCTCGTCACGAAATGATTTCCCATATTTGAAATATTGTTTTAACTGTTAATACTCATCATTGTCCTCCGCATTGAATTAACTAGTATTAAATAATCTTTCATTCACTAAGACTTGATATCCAGCAGCAATATGAGCGCCTTTTAGGGGAAATGCTTATTCTTAAAATGTTGTATTACAGGTTGCAAAGCACATTAAACACACCTAGGCGTAACATTTATACTACCTTCACATGGTGTACAAAGGGTAACATGTTGGGAGGCAAATTTACATTGATTGTTATACGCATGTCTACGTAGTTCACGCTATTTACAGGGAGGGGGCACTAGCGTAGGCAAACTCTTAGCTTTGACTATCAAGCGAGCCTTGCTAAATCACCGCTCTCTCCAAGGAAACAAAACAATATAGAATTGGGTTGACGGCGTGCAACAAGCATAGACCCTCTCTCGAAACGACAACGCGTAAGTATAGAATCTTTGTTTGTTCACATCGAAAGCAAAAGCTTTGTAAAGCGATTGATTTAAACGCGACTGCCGTGGTGTGAGTGTTTCCCCTTTTGTTTAGCGGTTAAGGCCCCTCTGTTTGGGACTTGAAGGGGGGCCATGTTGTTTAGCCACTGAGTGTTTGGGTGATGTTTTAGCTCACACAACACCAATTTGCAAATTAGCGTGTGCTAGCTCTTGCATTGGCCATTTGGGTTTATTTGGCTCGTTGCAGCCACTCAATGTGGTATTTCGAGCCGAGAAAATTGCATGTTTTTTCGTCAAACACACGGGCACAATAGCTTACTGTAATGCAATGGCAAATTCACGAATTTAACTTTGATGTCTAACGTCGAAAACCAATAATAAACAGCAGGCCCGCTGCGGTTAGCGTTAGCTTGTTAGCAAAGGAGGTTGCTAATGCTCACTAGTTAAGTAGCATTAGCTAACAATAAACATGGTCAATATCGGCTAGTGTCAACAAAGGATTGCACAAGAATGATGAAGCAACAATATGCAACACGGGGACAAACCTCTAGCCATTAGCCCTTTTAAACCACTATTTACGAAACGTTAAATGTTCAGTCAAAGCCGTAAGTTAGCTTGCTTATTAGCAGCGGACTCTCTGGCTAGGTTAGCTACGTTAGCTAGCCAGCTTGCTGAAAGGCTTGCACATCGGTCTGCCACAATGACCAGTAATGTTGGCTATTTCGCTGGAGCTAGTTATTTATTTTTAAAAGCCAGCGACAGCTCTCGTTGTGGCTAAAAAAATCAGCATTGTTATGTGATAGCCGCGCCCGTCTTTTAATCATTAATAACGTTAATGGTAGCGTTGCGTTAGCCACGACCACCAGCTAACACTAAGCTAACGACAACGTTACCTAGCGTTAGCATTTTTGGGTCTTGCAAGCCATCATCATGCCTGTAACGCACCTGATTTGTTCTTGTATTGCTCATTCATAAACGAGAATCGCCTAATTAGACTTCACCGTTGACGTTAATGTCTTCCGTGTCGGACAAGCTATGTAATTAACGTTACATTTACATACATACATTCAGGGCGACATTCATGCTAACTAACATTTAAATCTTCAACCGTTGAACAGCCATAACGTGAAGTCAGCAATACGGGAAATTAGGTATGTCCCGTCGAAAAAACTAAGTTGGACCTGTTATTCATGTGGTATTCTTTTGGGGGCATAAGTGTAACGTTAGTTCAAAAGTTTCGGTTTGTCTCAAGACTCGCATAATGGCCACATGTTGTGACTTACAGCTTTCATAAGTCCATAGCCTACCAGAATACAGTCACCTAACTGTGACGTTAAAATGGGGGGGGGGGCCTCATTGACTTTATTCGGATATAAAAAGTAATTTTAGCCATATATCTGAATTATTTGTCAGGCAAATGCTCTGGTGGACTAAGAAGTCAATCAATGCAAGACATCACAAAGGGCCAACGTAAAAACACTGCATATTCTTGTCAACATAATACTTGTATGTTGTTTTGTGCAGGCTTTCCCGTGGAATGAGCGTTCCATGCAGCATCCTAGGTATGAATGACGTGGCCTGGCAGGAGACAAGAGGTGGGATGCTGCATGCAAATGGTGCTCCTGAGACTGTAGGTGTCAGAGTTCATGTTGGGGGAGCTGGACAGGCTTCTGGAGTCCCACATTTACAGGGCATGGACCGGGTTGTGAACAACCCCACCGCCCCAGGTACCCCGCAGCCTCCACTGAGTGGACGATCTCAGGATGACGCCACAGTCGGATACTTCTTTCAGAGGCAGCCCGGAGAGCAGCTTGGAGGTTGCACACCCAGCAAACACCGCTGGCCAACTGGTGATGCCAATCATGTTGATCAGGTAAAAGGGCCTTCAGTCATTGTAATGTTATTTAATCTAATGCGGGTTAGAGGGACAGACGGTAGCATTTTGTATCGGCTTAAGATACAAATTTCATGTGCAAACCAAACAATAAAACTCTGTTAGTCACATGTGAGACTAGGTCATTTATTCCACTTGATTCTTCTAGGAGTGTTTTAACGTTGGAGCCTATGAAAAATGTCACTGTCTTTAGTTGGTAGACTATAATGCTGTTGTACAGCAAACTAATAATTTTACTGAAAATGTCTGTAAATACAATGACAAATTCAATTTCGTAGTAATTATTTAAAAACGGGGACTAATTTGAGGTAACGATATAGGTTGGTGAACATTTGCATTTTTTGTATATCCAGTTTTAATCTGGAGAAATAATTAAACTTCATTGAGTAAACAAAATAGAAAAGGTCCTCATCACAGCTATATTTTTGTCACACTGATGCCCAGCGGTTGTTCTACTGTAACCGAATAGACATCACACCAACAGAATTCGTTGACTCCAGTAATTAATTTCAACTTAAATCAGATAAGCTGCAGCACAATTGTTACACAAACTGGACTACTTGGATTGACTTGACCTTCTTACTGGTATCTGTAGTGACACACCCACCTCACCCAACTAGTGGTGCAACGGATCATAAAACTCACGGTTCGGATTGGATCAAAGATCAAATTGGCACAAAAGAAAAAAGGGAGCAAATATAACTTTTACAGTTCCCTGTTTTTTTTTTTTTTTTTGTTTTGTTTTGTTTTTTGCAGCTGATGCTAATTGCAGATAATTGATGATCCATATTGGCAGATAGAGATCCCTTTGTTGTTTGATTATAGCAGCTGGTCTACAAGGCTCCAGGCTTTTTTGCCACCGTCCCAAACATCATTGCAACCACTCTTAAGTCAATGTAAACCATTGAAAATGTGTGCATACATTGGATTGGGCCTGGGGTTATCACTCAGCCTGATGAAAAGTTATTACAGGGCCACCTTCTTTCTCTATGTTTATGTGTTGGTTTTTTTACAGCAGATTCTATCGGGGTTAATGTTGCATTACTGCATTTAAAAAAAAAAAAATCTTCCTTAAAATATTTGTACGATGTCACCTTTAGTGTTTTATGACAAAGCCACAGGCATGCCAGAGTCTTCAGCATCCCTACTTTTCACACCGGGGGGGGGGGCTTGGGTGAAAAGAAAATGGGTGCAGCAACTCTGTTTTGTCCTTCGTGTAATGTTATAGCGCTATGATTCTAATCTTTCATGTGTTTGTAATCTTCAAGGACTCGTACAGTGTATGAAATTACTTCTCGACACAGTTGTACTTTGGTGATTATAACTTATGAATAGCTAATCAGGCTTACACATGTAGAATTACACGTTTCAAAGCATGAGTTTCTTACTCTTTTCTGGTGTTTTTTTGTTTGTACGTTGTTGTATTGTGTCGATTATTTAAATACTTCATGTTGGAAAAAGCTTTTGTGGGCTGAAGGGCCTCTTGAAATGATATGAGGCCATGTTTTGTAGTTTATTCGTTTCACAGAACCAACATATTTTCTGGGTAAAATTGATCAGAAATCAAAGAACAGGTTAGTTTGTTCTCTGCAGCGTGTGGAACAAATGTAATATCCGTTAAGGTCTCTATTTTGTGGCCATCCATTTAGTGCTGTAAGATTTGTGTTTCTTTTGTCTCAGGTCCGTGCTGCGGATGAAATGAACTATGGCTTTCAAGCTCTTGCTTTGGAGTCCAGGGGCATGGGAGAGGTAAGAGGTTTTTGGTCCTAACATTAGTCTTTTTTTCCATTACAGCATAGCAATACATCAAAATGAATATTTATATGGAAAAACTCCCAGTGTATAGGCTTAAAATATACAGTGCAGAGGTGAGTGAATTAATTTCATTATGTAACTACACTAACTCTGCACTGTAGTAGTTGAAATTATTCGGGATAAAAATGCAATAATGTGTTCTCCATGAAGGAGCAAATGACAATCTTTACAGCCTCTCCAAGTCCATAGGGATGTGTTCATGCTCAAAGGTCTTTGCTGAGGTATGACTAAGTGAGAAAGGGTTACGCTGACCAACACTACAGTAAAAAACAATATTTAAACTTCAAAACTGTAACCTAACCACTAAACATCACATTTTTAATAACCTACAATGCAAAATGATCTTACAAAAGATGTACACTTTGTGTTTTAGCTTCTGCCGGCAAAAAAGCTCTGGGATTCTGATGAGCTGGCCAAGGATGGAAGGAAAGGCATGCTTCTTGGAGAGGAGTGGAGGGACAATGCATGGGGATCATCTCGTGAGTGGCTCCTATATCTCTGGACATTGTATTCTCACTTTTCTTTCTTCAAGATGAATAATTCATTATT